ATGTTTTCTCTCTGGACTTTTCAGGTAGTCTGGGTACCCCACCGAAAGGTCTACCGGAATCTACACCGAGAGTGGCGTGCTAGGCACGTGTCGTTCTTGTGGAACTGACATCCAAATGAGATCTTCCAACAACTTCTCCATCTACATGTCGGGCCAGATCTTCACTTTTGGTTCAATAACTTTTGTTCCTAACTTTGTGGGCCATCTTGAGCCCACCGAGACTTTTTCTTCATGCCAAGTTTTCTTCTTTGATAACTTAGAGTTTTTCATCGACTTACGTGGCAAGCCTGTTCTATGCGGCCCACTCAGTCGGCCACTTCATCACCAACGTGGAGTCAATCCACGACTTCCTCGAGGAGCATGACGAGCCTGCGGACGATTGATACATCTCCAATGTATCTTATTTTTCAAACACTTTTGTTATTATTTTTGCTCCTGATTTGTATGATTTGAATGAAATTAACCCGGACTGAAGTTGTTTTTAGCAGAACTACCATGGTGTTGTATTTGTTCAGAAATAAAAGTACTCGAAATTTGACAAGAATTTTGAAGAATTATTCTGGAATATTTAAGGAATTTTGGAGCAAAGATAGATAAGAGGGGGGCCACCAGGCCGCAACACAGCCTGATGACGTGGCTTTCCCCAGGGCGCGCCACCTGGCCGTTTGGGTCCCTTGGCGACCGCCTGACAACGATTCCACCGGCATATATGAGATTTCTCATATATGCCAAAAAATCACAAATATTTACCGAAACTTTTTGCGATATGGAGACATCGCCACTTCCTGTTCTTCCCCTGGAGTCTGTTTCTGGCTCCAGAGAAGGGGATTCGTCGTCATCGTCATCTCTAACCCTTCTTCATACAATTTCATGATGCTCACATCCATGTGTGAATAATTCTTCTATAGCCATAAGGAGGTAGATTACTATTCGATGAGATTTTTTGTGTAATCGATGTCAGATTTGTTACGGCTTGATGCCTATTATCCACTTTGTTTTGGGATTGATCTTGCTATGACTCTCCTATGCTTAATATTTGTCAGTAGGGCCCGAGTACCATGATTTCAGATCTGAAATCTCTATGTTTTGATGAATATATTTGTGTACTTGATCTTATCTACAAGTTGTATGCACCTGTTACGTTCTGAACCCTAGACCCCAAAGTGACAACAATTTGAATATTAACTGCCATGACTTTAACTTGAGGATTACATGCGCTGTAATTACTCTTAGTTTTCATTAGAACCCCGTTGCACGGGAGGGTATGACAAAAGATATTATGCAAGTTTTTATTGCAAACACGTATGACTATATATGGAATGTATGCCTACATATGATTGATAAATTAGAGCTAGTTTGTTGTCGCTCTAGGTTTGTAACGCCCTCGATGCGGCTATAACTCCCACATGTCGAGGCACGACTTAGAGGCATAACCGCATTGAAAGCAATGTCGCAAGTCAGGCAATCATTACAACATCCCATGTAATATATAATAAAAGGGGGAGATAACATAGTTGGCTTACACTCGCCACGTCACATCAGAGTACATAAATAACATCCATCAAGCAAACACTCATGGCCCGACTACGGCGCCAAAATAGAAAAGACCCCAACATGCGACAAGGTCCTGAATCGATAACCCCAACTAGGCACCACTACTCATCATCTGGAAAGGACACGTAGTAACGCTGAGAGTCCTCGTCGAACTCCCACCTGAGCTCGCAATCGTCAACTGGAGCGGAATCACCTGGACCTGCATCTGGAGTTGTAGTATCTGTGAGCCACAGGGACTCAGCAATCTCACACCCACGCGATCAAAACTATTTAAGCTCATAGGAATGGACAAGGCAAAATATATGTGGAGCTGCAGCAAGCGACTAGCATATGTGGTGGCTAACTTATGCGCAAAAGAGAGCGAGAAGAGAGGGCGAAGCACGAGCGAGAAGCTAAAGGAACACCCTGCGCAAGCATAACTCCAACACCGTGTCCACTTCCCGGACTCCGCCGAGAAGGGGCCATCACGGTAACACACACAGTTGATTCTTTTTAATTAAGTTTAGTTCAAGTCATCTACAACCGGACATTAACAAATTCCCATCTGCCCATAACCGCGGGCACGGCTTTCGAAAGATCAATCCCTGCAGGGGAGTCCCAACTTAGCCCATAACAAGCTCTCACGGTCAACGAAGGAATAGACCTCCTCCCAAGACGTTCCGATCAGACTCGGTATCTCGGTAA